TCTTGTCTGCCATCTACTGGACACTTTTTGTTGTGCTCATATTTAGACGTCCTATTTTGCAAATGCTGCCTTCCTGAAATTTGGTATGCTTGTCTTTGTGTCTATGGTGTGTAATGATGTGATTGTGGTGCTGTATTTCTGAGTGTTTTATGTTCTGCAGAACAGGAACCTGCTGTAAAACAGCAATTATGCTGAATCAGGCTTGATTTTTAGTAATATTTTCCTGTTGAATCAATAAATCAAATCAAATCAATGAGTCAAGTCGTATCAAATGAAGTGGGATTATTGTTTTTATTAATGGAACCTGAGAATAAATGACAGTATGAGATGGAAACTCACTCTACTCCATTGACTGCTTCCATTTACAGCATCTTCACAAGTAAAACTATAAAAATATATACAGATAAATAATTCTGACAAAAAAAACATGCATTAAAATTAAACTATATGTGCAAAATATGCCTAAAGATAATGTTAGAGTCCTCAACACAGATCATCAGTCACCTTCCTTACAGGTACTTTATTTAAAGGCTATCTTGTGTGTGACCCAGAGGACCACCGTTTCAGCTGATAAAAATGAGCTGATTGTTTTGTAGGTTCTGTATCTTTCAGAGTAACATTTGATTTTGGAGTTGGACACTTCCTACTTCCTCTGCATAAGAAAGGAGTCATTTTACTTTTTGTGGGAGAAAAAATGTAATACTGCTAAGGTTTGACATCAGTAACATAATATGATGCTCTAAATGGATTCTGTGCTGGAAAAAGACCACCTACCTTTGTCACTATTTCTCCACTGGGTTTAAAATCACTATGTAGATAATGATTAAATAAATTAGAAGTAAGCGTGACACTCCATCCCCATCAAACCGTGACAATATAAATGTAAAATACATCAGTCTTTGTTTCTTCCAGCAGAGAAAAAAAGTCAGCTTTTGTTCTCTTCAGAAGGACTCAAAGAGCTAATTTTTTTTGTATTTTTCTATTCTCAAAATCAGATGGCATTGAAGAATTCACACTTTAAAAAGATAAAAAAAAATCAGTCATGCAGCCTGGTGGCTCAACAAATCAATAAAAAAATCAAAAGAAAAATCCTGACTCTGCTGTCAACAATGTCTTTGCTTGGTTTAGTTTAATGATCGATTCCTGTTACTCCTAAATCGGTTCAGATCAGTTTTACTGATGTTATAAAAACCTAAATGTTTTAGCTTCCATCTCACAAAACAACAACAGAGGCTTTACAACCTCGAACATTACAAGTTGAAGAGAAAAAAACAACATATTTACAAAAAACATAAAACAAACCCGGTAATCATACTTTTTTCCCCCATGTCTTACTACTGATTTATAGTTAAAACATATTTATGTTATAAACAAATGACAAATAAACTTATCTGTGCAGTTCATTTTAAAGCCCCCAACTTAGTGTTTTAAGACCCTCAGTGGCATCCTGACCACATCTTTAGGAACAGTTTTGGAGAAACAAAGCAGAAATCAAATCCTTTAACTTGTTTTTTTTTTTCTTTCTTTTGTTGATTTTCTTAGAAGGTTTCAAGTATTATTAAATATTAATAATTATTAAATAGTGAAAACATGCAAACCTGACAACAAAATGATTAGGATCGTTCTATTCTGAATATAATTTACTAACAGTAAGACAATCCGAGATAGACTGAAACACTAATCTGTGCGAGACGAATAGCTACATGAAAAGTGACGGTCTGACAGCAGAACCCGTCCAAACMTGCAGCTCTACTGTCTCAGTCCTTATCTACAGCCTTTCAGCTTGTGTGACAACCGTCTGTAAACTACAGGAAACTCAGTCACAATGAGAGTTGAAGCAGTGATAAAACTGGACATGCACAATGACAGATGTGGAATGGGTTCAACATGCTGTGCAGAACCAAAGTGCCTATGAGTACTGATAGAAAGGCTGCTCGTCGGGTCTGAAGCCATACGCGGTGACGGGGCGTCCCGGGGAGGAGCTGGTCTGGTCGAAGACATCGCCCACATCTCTGATTTACAAAGACACAAAAAAGAGTTAGTGTCTTCATGTGGAAACAGAGGCAGATTAGGACAAAAGATTGGATGAATTTGAATCTCATTTCGAGGTGTTTCTAAACTCACCCTGCCAGAAGAGAGTCTCCGTTCTGTGGCTGCAGGTCGCTGAAGAAATCTGGACTGACTGAGCCATCTGCTGGAGTGATTCCATCTGAGTCACAAAAGAATAAAGACAGGCGCATACATAATTTAAAAGTTCATTATCATTGGAGACGGTGTCTTTTTTTAAAAAATAGTATCATTACAAAGTTACTTTCATCAGGGAAGACTCTCAGCTGCTACCATATCAAGTTTTAGCTCACTATTTTTAAAACTGACTGTTATTGTCTTTATTGTGTTTGTTGATGTTCATTAGCTGTGGGGTTCATCTTAAATGGTAAACTTTGCTGTTTATTGATGCAGCCTATTGTAAGCAGTGCTGTTTAAGAGACTTTAAGATAAAAGCAACACAGGATCCCTTCTTTCTTTCAGCACTGTTAAATATCTGTATTAAACTTGTGAAGTACGGTTAGTTTAGAAACCAGGCTGTATGTGCAGATTGATGAGATATTTGATAAAGAAACCACAGAACTGGAGTAAACTAAGAGTAAACTGGTTACATCAATGGATGCAATAAACAGGTTTTTTTTAAACTGGAAACAGTCTCCTTCTCTTTCTAGTTCCTGCACCACAGGAACAGACTGATTATAGTTAAAAAATGTATTTTTGGGATTGAAACATTACATTATTTATTCCAAATAACCTTAGGCATATTTGTGTTAATTACAAAGAACATTTCATTTAAATTTTCGCTAAAAATATTGTGACTGCTTCTAATTAAAATGTTTTATTTTCACTACTGGATCAAAACACCTTTTGTTGTGACTTCTGCTGTGGGTAATCATGAGACTTGTGAGAAGCTGATTGGCTCGAGGTCAGAGTCTGTATGAATCACTCTGTTTCTTATTTCTCTCAAAGACAACTGACTTGTTTACTTATTGAGTTCACAATTATTTCAGAAAACCTTTGTACGTTTTTTTTTCCTTTAGGCTCTCAATTGAGAGCAGGCGCTTTTGTACAGTGAGGTGAATCTGTCATTGTGCTGTGACAGCAGAAACACCACAATATTTTTGGTTGGTCTAGTGTTTGGTGTTTTTGTTTGATGAAGAGGAGCTTCAGCAGTGTTCCTTTCAATTATAACAAAAACACATTTTAAAACTTCACACGAACGACAATTCTGAACAACCTATTAAAACTCAAACAAAACAGAGTAACGGAGTAAACAGCTGATCTGATGTGTGATGGAGGATTTACAAAGTGATTTTGATTTTATCAGTGAAGGTAACCAGAGAAAACATCTCAATGAAGCTGATGTACAAACACTAACATTTCTTCTAGTGTGGAATACGCTGAAAACTGACTTTAGTCAGAGGTTAGTCCAGGGGTCTGCAACCTTTATGATCAAAAGAGCCATTTCTGCTCCTTGGCTCACTAATAAAATGTGTCCAGAGCCACAAAACAAGCTACAACTGTGATTATCAACAGGTGGTCCGTGGGCCTTTTCGAGTCCTTTTCAGGAACCTTTATGGCCAGTGGAGGTGACATTATAAAACGAAAGAATATATTGTGAATTTTATTTATTTTTATTATTTTTACACGAGGACAAATGAAAAGACCAGATTCATGTAAACAAGAAAAATATTGTATATAGTTTTTACAGAATTTCATTAAAAACTAGTTCAACTGAACTATTCAGTTGTATGTTTTTTTCCTAATTATTATTACTATGTAGTTTTCAGATTCTTTAAAGGTAATTCTGATGGATTTGAGAGACAGATCATAGAAAAAGTTTGGATTATTTGAAGCGTGTACAGAAAATGGATGGATATATATATATTCATTCTGTTTGGTCACATTTTCAAAGGGCCACTGCAGAGGGTCCAAAGAACCACATGTGGCCCCAGAGCCGCAGCTTGCAGACCCCTGGGTTAGTCAGAGTACGACATGGTGAGGCTCATCAGTTTTTGCAAATATCTTTGTTTGGATTTTTGTATATACCTGCACTGTAGAACAGATCCGTCCTCTCATTTTCGTTGTCGTACAGATACGGTTCATGCTCATCGACTTGGCGACTCTCAACCATCTCCAGCCACTGGTTGTTGTGGAAACGGAATTTCTCTGACTGGATCTTTCTCCCCCACTCCTCATCATACTCCTAAAAGTTAAAAAAAGAAGTAGAGGGTGTATTTGAATCTCAGTGTGCTACTTCAGCTCCTCATAGATGCTAGCTGACCCGTCTGCATCAGAAACATGGTGGTTCACTCACAGCAATAATGTCCAGAGTGTTGTCACACACTTTTCTGATCTCGGTGTTCTTGTCATGCATCAGATCGATCAGGTAAGCTGGAGCCTCTGCAGACGTGATTAAAGAAAACTACAGAAACATATCCGCCTGTGCAGGCCCGTCACAATAACACATTTTACTAGGCGATAAATTGTCTCAGAAATTGTAATAAATGACTATTGAGACCAGTTTAAATTAATATAATGATATAACAACACGTTTACTAAAATTTACATTAAAATTTACAGTGTAAAAAAGAAAAAAACAACTAGCGGCAATCCCAAGGCGTTGCCAGCTGTATGAACGTGTCAGAAAACTAAAGACGCTCCTCTGGCTAAATGCCTGTTCACAGGCTCTCATGCTACAGAGGTTAAAGACCACACACCTGGCAAATACCTGACACCAGAGTTCACTCCTCTCTATGCTACAAAGTAAAAAAGAGGGAGACATGAAGAAAACAAAAAAGCAGGCAAATGAAAATTATTGTCTTCAATTTAATTGATCTTTCTCAATTTAATTTATCATACGATAAACTGATTTATTGTTTAGTGTGACAGGCCTGCGCCTGTGAAACTAAATCGCAGCTAACTGTGCTGACAGATCTGTGAACTCTGGGGGGGATACGAGTGTCTTTGATGATGACGTCTCGAGTAGCTTGGTGAAACACCATCTGATAGAAGACGTAAACGATCTGACACACAAACTCGTCGTCCTCCTGGCGAGCTGGAAAAGAAAATGCATGAAGTGAGAGTGATGATCCTAAACGCGGCCTGTATTTTTAAACAGTTTCACAGGCAGGTGTTTTTACCGTTCAGTAGCTCTATGAGGGCAGGAATGATGCCAGATTTGGCCAACATGACGGCGCAGGCGTCATCCATGGATACGGTTCCGATCATTATGACCACCTCCAGGATGAGGTCGTCCTCTGCAGAGTCTGAAATACAAACGTGTAACTTAACCATCCTGTTGTGTTGCAGGTCAAATTGACCCGTTTTAAAGTTTAAAAAAATGTTTAAATAGTTTAAAGTATTTTTTTCTGCATGAAACGTTTTCTATTTGTCTTAATAGGTATAATTTACTTATAAAATGAAAACTGTTCATTTTACATTTTTGCAGCCCCCCTGGTCTACATATTACATAGAAACTGTTGGGGTCAATTTGACCCGACAGTCAAAATGAAGGGAAAAAAGTGTCAAAAGTGTCAAATACTACTTGTTTCTTTGCAACTGTGAGACATACTTCACCACAGCACTACAGACACACACACACACACACACACACACGCACGCACAAACACACTGGCAGGTATTGGGACAACGTGGGACGAGCAACTTCCACTGCTTTAGGCCCTAATCTCACAGTGGATGAAGGTTTGTGGTGTTCAGAGGTTGCTGCTCATTTAAAGAACAAAGTTTATTTTCAATATAAATCTTCATGACTCATTTGTCTTGGTTTTTAATTAGCGCGTCAATTTGACCCAGAACAGAAGAGGTGTCTCAAGTTCAATCATAAAC